CCCCCCCCCCCCTCCCCCCCCGGGAACCCCCCCCCCCTTTCCCTGCCCTTTCCCTGCGGGCCCGGCTCCTGCCCTCATCCTGTTGGCCCGTACCCCCACCCCGGATGCCTTGTATCCTGTCCCCGCGGGTCTCAGACCTCTGGCGCCCCGCCTGCCCGGTGCCCCACCGCCCCGCCACAGCTCTCGGTCCTCCGCTGCAGGCCCCTCACCCTTCTTCCGGTGTGTCCTCCAGTGTCTGCCTTGGCTCTTGGAGATCCTGCTGATGGCTGGCGGGAGCGCACCGCCCGAAGAGGAGTTCCAAGCCCCGCCGGCTCTAGGGGTGCAGAACTTGCGGACTGAGGCCTAGGAGTGGGGTGCAGGTCGCCAAAAGTGGTCCCAAAAGCGGCCACCTATCCAAGAGAAATTCTGCAGGACCCCCTTGCCAGATCTAGCCCCTACGTGAGTCTATTCATTCAGAAATATTACCCTGATTGGGGCCGGCAGGTGGCCTGGTGGTTAAGGATGCTGGACTCCCACATGGTCAACAGAGACATAGAGACAGAAAGCGAGAAATCACCCCCCCCCGGGGGGATAACCACACCGCAATGCCCCGGCGTGAGTTTAAGGTACCGGTCCAGTACATGGGAGTTCAGCGACATAGCCATTACGCTAACTGCTGGTCCCAAATAAAATAATTCTTAATAAAAAGAAACATTACCATGACTAGGGTGTGCAGACAGCTGGCCTCCCTGAAGAGCTTCAAAAGTCCCTTTTAGAGTTACCTTACCATTCCTATAATACAGTCCAGCAGCTAAGTAGTGATTTTTTTTTTTTTTTTAGGAGACACTAACTTTTCTGCCCCAGGTATTTCAGCCTCAGGAGATTGGTATTAAAATGTTAATACGAGGGGAATTTTTGGTATGGGGGTGTGCACTTGCTTCAGAGAGAGAGAAAGAGAAATCAGTCCCCAAAGGGGATGGGCACACTGCAATTCCTTCTCTATTTTCCTCTGAGTATTTTGGGCATGTACGCATAAGTGCCTGGCATAGATTTTCAAACTTCTAGTCCTAGGACTCGAAGCATGTAATCCACCATGTGGGACCCAGCCACCTTAAGCACCATGCCACTGGCTGGCCTGGCTCATGCTGTATGATGCCTTTCAAAAACAAAAAACTTATTTATTTTTATTCAGTCATTTATTTTATTTTGGCCAGAGACACACACACACACAGAGAGAGAGAGGGAGAGAGAGAGAGAGAGAAAGTAAGAATGTAACCCACCAGGTCTGGGACTCAAACCATGGTCAGCCATATGGGAGTGCCCAGTGCCTTAACCCTTAACCACCACACTGCCTGCCTACTGGTCCCTGTGCGATTCCTTTTTTTTTTTTTTAATGATTATTTATTTTGTTTTATTTCTTTATTATTATTATTATTATTATTAAATTTGACCAGAGAGAGAAAGGGAAAGTGAGTAAGCAAACTTCCAGGTCTGGGACTTGAACCATGGTCGGCCATGTGGGAGTCCAGCACCCCAACCACCATGCCACCTGCTGGTCCCACGATTCCTTTTAAATGGCCTTCTAGAGTAGGCAAAATCAATCTATGGTGGAACAAAATATCACACTTGTGGCTGCCTCTGGGGATGGTTAGGGTGAGAGATGCCTGGGGAGGGGCCCGAGATGACGACTACATTCTATATCTTAGCAGAGGTTTGGATTACACAGGTGTGTACTACCAACACTCATGAGCGGGCACTTCAGATGTGTGCGTTTTGTCATTGTAGGTATACTTTCCAACAGAAGAAGCCGCTGTCCACAAATACTGGACTCTGTTAAGTGACATGGTTGCTCAAGGGAATTTACAGGTATCTGCGGTTTACTTGGAATGCATGAAGATGATGGAGGGAGGAAAGGAGGGAGGCAGGGGTGGATGGATAGATCTGAGAGAGAACTAATGCAGTAAAATAATCATGGTGGAATCTAGGTGGTGAGCATACCAGCGTCCATGGTAAAATTCTGCTTGCTTGTATCTTGAGAACTTCCATAACAACACGTTGAAATAAAGTTCTGATCTTATAAGCACATGACACAAAAACAAAATATGAAATCAAATCAATGCTGTAAAAACTGTTCTTCAAGGGTGAGCTCACATATCCCATTTCCCCCCAAATTGGCCTAGTTAGTTACCTAATGAAAAACATTCATTCCTGGGCCAATGACACTGGTATAGTGATAATGAAATGCTTTCCAATGCTGGACCCTGGTGAGGTTCGAGTCTAGAGATTGTCTTGGTTTTGGTTTTTGTTTTTGTTTGAGAGATTCTTGCTACAGGGTGTGTGCGCTTGCTAGAGAGACAGAGACAGAGAGCCAGAAATCACCCACCAGTGGGGATAGCCACGTACTAATCCCTTCTCCATTCTTCTCCCAGGATTTTGGGCATGCACACACATATGCCTGGCGTGAGTTTCATAGGCATTGGATCCGGAACTCGAACCACAGTTAACCATGTGGGAGTTCAGTGCTTTAAGCACCACTCCTGGCTCCTGAAGGTCTTTCTGTATACACCAGATAAACATGCCTAGGATCTGGGCTGGCTAAAGCTGAGGTTGAACTGTAGTATGAAAAACTTGTCAGTTTCTGTATCTCTCTCTCTTT